GAAAAATTTATTATTAAAAAGTGGAATCTTATGATAGATAGACACTTGCACCAGCCCCCCCCTCCCCCCCGCGCAATGCCTTCGGGCTCTGAAAGCAATTTTAACATGCACATTCATTGGCACTACCAAAATGCCAAAATTTTCAGAGCTCCAGCTAGTCTGAAAGGTAGTGAAAAATCAATCGCAGTCTCTGCTACAAAAAAGTTGGGACCGTGCCCCATTATCCATATATGGAAATCCATACACTTGTAGATCAAAATCTTTATATTTTTTGAAAGATCAATGAATATAGAATGAAGCGTAACAATTTTTTTTTTATATCATTAAGGCCACATGGGTTTCTTGAGCATCAAAATCAGGTATCTGAAAAATTGCCAAAATTTATTTAAATTGATAATTACAGGTACTTAAAAATATTTTTTTACCTTTCTGATCATTTTATTAGATTTGCCATTCCTAAAAATAGACAGTTACAAATTTTTAAGTAAAAAATTAAAATTTTTTAAAGTTATGTTACTTGAAACCTCTAAATAAACGTTGCAATTCTGAAGGAACAAGAGGGGCCTGGCCAAAATCTGTTAAAAATAAAATGGTGATATTTCAGGATATTTTTGGAGCCAGAGACTAAAATTTTCAAGGAATTCTTACTTTACTAAGTACTCTTAACTGTGTAAAAATCAGCAAAATCTGAGATATAAAGTGACATTTTAAAAAATTTATGGGTCATTTGACATGGAATTACCCTTGAGGGAGTGGATTTAGTAATATCCAGTTAATGATAACAAATCACTTATCAATAAAGTGTCATATAAAAATGCCAACACTATTTCTTATGCTAAAAATAACACCTATGCTGAATTGGCTAGCCTAAATGACAAGGGTGCTGGGATTAGCTGGTAGATTTATTTTGCACATAGGTTATTTTCTTTATTTATTTTATATTTATACATAAATATATATATATATATATATATATATATATATATATATATATATATATATATATATATATATATATATATATATATATATATATATATATATATATATATATATATATATATATATATATATATATATATTTTACCAGTTTTTATTTTAAAACAAATTTATAAATATTTTGAGCCAGGGTTGAAAGGTTTAAACCAATGGTTTAAACCAATCGAAAAAAATATCAATTTAAACCAAACTAATTTTTTTTAAACAATTTTAAATTTTCAGCAGGAAAGTAAATCAGGGTTTTTTACAAATAGAATTATATCTTTCATGTAAATACTTTCATGTAAATGTGAATGTACTTATTTAAAATCCTAAAGATGCTTCTAAAAAATAATTTCTTATATATATTACAATATGTATTTATTTGGCATTACTTTTTTTTTTATGAATGTAACAACAGATTATTTTATATCCATAAAGTGGATATAAAATAAATAACGCGCTTGAATATAAAAAAAACCCAGGGAAAAAATAAATAAATAAAGTGTTACAAATATAACTCAGCTCTCCATTTAATCAACAATGGAGACTGCAAGAACCTGTCAAAGTTAACAAAAGCTTTTATGACGAGATTCTCACTATTCTGCAGCAGCAACAATTAAGAGTATTATTGCTTACGAATAACAACATTAAGTGAATGGACACCATGTTTCATAAATAATTCACTAGCACTGTTCCATGGTGGCTTGTTCAATATTAAGCTTTTATTTATATACTTATGTCTTATTTCCAGTGCTGGATTGAGGAAGTGGGGTGGGGGTAGTAGGGCTTTAGCCGCGGGACTCACAATGTTAGGGGAAATGATGGTCAAGAAGACCATTCAGTATTTTTTTAAGTCATTTTTACGCTGTGGCACATAAAAAAGGCCGCCAAAATAGTGCAGCCCCCGTCCCTGAAAAGTCCAACAAGATTCAACCAGTTGATTTATTTATAAATAAAAAAGTTTTTTCAATAACTGTTTTATGCTTCGCGTAGTTTAAAAAGTTTAACAAATTTGAAACGATTCTTCTTAATAAGATGAACAAATGAAATAATTGAATCATTGAGTTACTGTAGCAATTCAATTAGCTAGATAGAAATTAACAAAAAACGTTAAATTACTTTGTGAGGAGGAAGCGGAACTGCTTCACAACACCGCTGATGATGTTTAGTAAGTGGACTTCATAATTTTAATTAGTATTTAAAATAGAAAAAAGTAACTTTAAGTATAACGAATTTGTAAGAATGGCTGAAGCAAAAATAGTAGAAGTTAGTAAACCAATTTCTAAGAACTTAAAAACTTTTCTTTCTTAGGAGAAAGAATCAAATATTTCAATAGAATACTCAGTACATTTGGTTAGTTTTTTTTGAATACTCTAGAAATTTCGGTTAGTATTTTTTGAACCAATAGAATTAGTTGTTTGTAGATTTGGCGGTTTTTTTGTGTTCGCGAATATTCTTTTTCTATTTTTCCGCAAGATGTTTGACAACATTCAAGTTTGTGAACGTTTCCATGTAAATCCGTAAAACAAAATATTTTAAAATTTACGACAAAATGAACTTATTATTTTGCGGACAAACAAGGAAACATACATAAACTTCAATGTTCTCAAAACGACTAAAAAATCTGGCCAGTTTTTCGCAACTAAATATTATTTCCGTGGTCAGTTATCGAGTGCGATCGCACCCGCTTCCCGACCAAGCCTGCATAGAGCGTACATGTTTTAAGATATCTTTGTCATCCTGCATATCATTTGAGATCAAATGACCCAGGTATTTATATTGACAAGTGTATGTGAGAACCATGTCAGATAAGGTGAAAGGAGGGCTGTTTACAAGGGGTTCATAAATTTTAAAAAACATTATTTGAGACTTAATACTGTTATAAACTATATCATGTTTCATAGCATAACTAGAGCATAAGTCAAGTAATATCTGGAGACACTTGACTGAGGGTGCACACAGGACAATTTCATCAACATAAAGAAGATAGTTAATGAGAGAAGGACCTAAGCAGCAAGCTACCTACGGTAGTTTTATTGAGTAGAACACTGAGATCATTAATATATATATTAAATTGGAGAGGAGACAGTACACCTCCTTGATGCACTCCATTACTGATATTAAATGTTTTGGATAATATTCCACTCCATAGGATCTGAGCTGTTTGACCTGCATACCAGTCAATGAGTAAGCGCAAAGTTACACCAGAGATAGTTTTAGATAGTTTTATAAATAATCAAACTCTATCAAAGGCCTTACTAATGTCAATAAATGTCTCATGCATATTCGAGCCATGGTAAAAATTTAAAATATCTTTTAAAATAAGAACTGGCATAAAAGTGCTATGGTTTTTCTTGAATTCGAATTGATTGGGAGTCCCAGTGAAACTTTCATTAACGCGTAAGATAGAAATATGTTCCAAAATCTTGGAGAAAATTGTAACCAAAGCAATTAAGCAATAATTAGCAGAATCAGAGATGTCACCATTCTTATCTTTAACACAGGAAAAATAAAAGAGTGCAAAGCACCAATAAGCATGTGTCCATGGCAAAGCATGGAGGAAAAGCACAATGATAAAATATTAAAGTAATTAGGGCTAGCATAGAGATAACGCTCCAACTGAAGTCCAAAATGGTCAGCTGCTTTTCCACAGGTCATATGAATTATGATAGATTGGGCTTCATCAGGAGTGACAAGATAGGCATCATCCTTAAGCAGCATCACTACGCTTCTGCATCTTACCTTTCAACAAGGCTGCAAGCAACCATTATTAGAGTTGGAAGTTACTTGAAGAGAAAAGATGACGATTGTAGAGCAAGATAACAATTGATAGATGATTTAAAAGATTGCAAATTATATGAACCTTGTAAGAAAGATGAAGGAAGCAAATTCCAAGAAACTGATGTTCGAGGAAAAAAACTAGATGAATAAGAGTTTTTGGAGCACTCAGGAACAGTCATAGAAAAAGGATGAGTCTTAATTGAATGACGAGTAACACGAGAATGAATTTTAGTAGATGGCACAAGAGACGCTAGCTCTTTAGACCACTGTTCATTATAGTATTTGTAGAAAAGAGAAAAAGAAGCAATTTTTTACATGATTTAGAGTGACAATTATGTTTTTTCATGGTATGTCATTTCTTTTAAGCAAAACATATATTGGAAACTGGTGGCAAAGACCTTTATGACTTTGTCATGCTGGTTTTACTTGATGGCCAGTTTGCTTGCTAATACAATTTGACAATGCAGAAGGAAAAGACATTGTTTAAAGCACAATTTCTTCCTCAAGTTTTTTTTAGTATTATAAATTCATGCATTATGCAGCATATCTCTAAATAGGATTATCACTTTAATACAGTGTAGGTTAACTGCAATCATAAGTGCTGTGATTCTAAAACCAAATACAAAACCTTTATGTTTTAGTAAAATATTTGTTTTTCAACATTTTAACTCCCATTACAGCTATTTCTACACAAAGAAAATTTGAATAAAATCATTAGTAGTGGTTTCTGTCATACATTTATAAAACATTTTTTAGTACAATATACATATTGGAAATTTTGTTTTGTTTGGTTCATACTGTAGATAAAATGACCAGAATTAGTTAGCAAAATATTGGGTACTTATTAAACACTAATTGATAAGAAAAATCATTAGAGCTATGTGTCTAATATTCATTTAAATAAACTTTAATTTGATAACATAAAAACAAAAACAAAACAAAAAAAAACAAGGAAAAAAGAATAAACTGCTTTAAATTAAAAAACTTGTTTAAATTGAAAACTATAAATAATTTTACATAATAAAATATAATAATATTTATTATATACTTTTAAATTACTACAAATAAGTTTAAAATGACCCTAATCACTCACATATTAAAAACATAAAAAAAAAAAGTTAATACGAAGGCATTTTATAGTGTTTTTAAGATTTTAAAGCATCAGATAACAATCTTGCACCTAATAATATCAAATAACTCAAATATTACTCTTACATATAAGCAAATCTTCTTCTTACCTTCCATGACCTACTCCCCAGCAAAGCAAAATCAAATTAAACTTTTCATTTCCAGAATCAACTAAATTTCTGGTATACCTTTATATGTAAAACACAAATGCCATTAGTAATTTTATAATAAACAAGAAAGTAATATTTAAATAACTAATAAATTAAATAATCAAAAATGATAAATAATATAACATTAAATATTTTAAATCTATCATATAAGAATATTATATATAACAATTTAGACATATATATATATATATATATATATATATATATATATATATATATATATATATATATATATATTTATATATATATATATATATATATATATATATATATATATATAATTGTTCAATATCTATGCTTTAGCTGGTTTAAATTTCTAAAACAGAAATAACTATTGTTTAATTTTTCTATTTTTAAAGTTTATTTTATAAGTTTATAATTTATTTAAATCGTGTTATGCTATATAGAGCATAAATATTTTGTATATTAATTATTATATAATAAATATATATATATATATATATATATATATATATATATATATATATATATATATATATAATATTTATACATATTATATAATATTTAATATACAAAATGTTTATGCTCTATAATGCATAATACAATTTAAATAAATTATAAACTTATAAAATAAACTTTAAAAATAGAAAAATTAAACAATAGTTATTTCTGTTTTAGAAATTTCAACCAGCAAAAGCATAGATATAGAACAATTTTAGATAATACATGTTGAGGATAGTAAGTAAATGTGGTCAAAATTTGACCAGGACTGGGTTTGATAAAAAATAGCCAGGGCCAGGTTTGTGACCGGGATTGCATAAACATTGATACATTCTTAAGTATTTTATTTTATTCAAAATTTGTTATACTTTATATTCATGTATATTTACATATAAACATCATGATGATGATGATGATCATCATCATCATCATCATCACCATCATCATAATGATCATGATTATCATTATCAAGCTTTAGCCTTCCCCTTTTATGATGTTTCTTTAATATAAACATCATCTCAAGCATCTTCTTTCATAACAAAAGCTCATTCATACCATTTGTAAAGCATCTCTCCTAATTTTCTTACTTATAACTCTACCATTTTCTCCTGCTACCTGTCTACATGCTGATAACTATACTACTTTAATATTTTCTAACAAGTGTTGTTTGATACTATACTCATCTCTGTCTAAGATTATGGCTCCTTTTTTTTGTCTTAGAGTTATACCACACATCCATCTGATCATCATCTTCTCCTTTAGGTAACAATACTACAACAAATACTAAAATTTAAATAAATATGCAGGGATATTGTATGCCAGCATTGAAATAAATAGCAAACACATATGTTTATATCTATATATATCCATATTATAAATGGATATAGGCGCCTTTTAACTAATCTCCTGGACCCAAGTAGGTATTGAAGCTTTTATTACTTCTCACCGGTTTAAAGTCAAGCCTCATTATACTCCATATTTTTCATGTTCTTGTGCAGTTGCTATACTTAATCATTTGTTTCAGCATTTTTACAAGAACATCTCTCTTGAAAACAAATGACTTTTTATTATTGCAAGAAGACAATGTAAATAAGGTCCTATGTGATGCTAAGCTTTGTTATTCTTAGTTTGCTAAATTTTGTATCTTATCTCAGATGTTAGGATCTAGAGACATTTGGAAAATCTTCAACACTGTCATTAATTAAAGTAAGCTTAACATTCCATCTCTAATTTATGGGTCTGATCATATTAATTCATCCCAGAAAAAAGCACTGTTAACCCTAATTGACAAACTCTTCCTGCCAATCAAGTTAAAAAGGTTAAACCATTGTTAGACATTCAAATCACTCCAGCTTCCTATTATTAAGTCAAATTTCAATTAAACTCTTCTACAGCTTGAGGTTCAGACAACATTTCCATCATAGTCTTACAAAAAAGTTCTCCAGAACTCCCTTCAATTCTTGCAAAACTAATAAGTGCTACATAAGTTGTTCCAATTTTTTAAATCTTTAAAAAACACACTGACCTCTCTAACTATCCTCCGATTAGCCTTCTCTATAATTAGTTTCTTTACATAAAGGTTTTGAGACTATTAACTCATTTCTTTTTAACTTTTTTCCAGTAACTTTAAGGGTACCACAAGGTTCTATTTTGTTCCAATATTGTTTCTTATCTACAATAACAATCTTTATGACAATCTTACATCAAAAGTGGCTCTATTTGCTGATAACTCAACTTTATACACTCATCTTGACAAAAAGTCTCAACTAACAAATCACGAAATTATTCAACTTCTCTTTTTTTCCAACCATTCCATTATTGAGTCCTTGATTTCTTTTTTCTTTTCTCGATGGGATAGTCCATAAATTATGCAATGACTATCATCGATATTAAGCAGATATTTTGATTTTTGATTTAATGAGACTGCTAGGAAAAACTTGTGATCTTTTTTGTACTTTTAAAATAACTTTTACAGAACATGTTTGATTGATTATATGTTCAATTGCTACATGTATTTACATTAAATGTAAATAGCTACAAAACATAAATAGCCAAAGTTGTCAAATTTACATTTTGCCTGAACCTGCACTTCTCAAACTACATGTTGACATTGCACCTGGTGGAGATACAGATCATGCGTCATTAAAAGTTGCTATTTTTTCTAGCACATTAGCAACAGGTTGTTCATTATCATAGCCTCAACAATCATTTAGTATATTAAAGAACTATTTATTATTGATGCCTCAACAAACACTAAGTTCAGCAGCAATTACTTTATTGAATAAAAATTGTATTAACATGAGCAGCAATCATTTCTCTAAATGTTGGTCAATTAAATCAATACAACATAACAAGATAAGGAATTCAAGGCTGAAAACAGTTTTTTATTATGCCCCAATGGAAAGATTAGATGGTCTGTTTGGGATACAATTAAGCCAGAAAATTATTCAAAGGAATGGACCGCATGCTCTATCGCGTATAATGGTGAAACTTTTGATTTGCAGTTAACATACACAAAGTTTCTAAAGCCCATTCGAAGTTACACTCGAAAAATTGTTTGTGGGAACATAATTGTTTTATAAGTAAGCAAATGTAGAAATTTATTCTTGATGATATATCTTTGTTAGGCATTTGATGAAATTGCAACTCAGATCTTAAACTGCCATCAATTATCTGACATTTTACTAAAATATTGTAGTGATGGTGTCTCCCTTATGATTGGATCAAATAATGGTGTCTTCAAACAAAAAACTTCAAACTTATGTCTTAAAGCAGAAGTTTCTTCAGCTAGTTGGATGGCATTGTCTTGAATGAAAATAAGAGATAGCATTCTGAAAAAGCAGTTGAGGTGGAAGTTTGTCTTCTTAAGGTAGGGAGAGTTCTCAGTACACTGTGGGTTGCCTCATCATTTTGAATTGTAAAGACCATTTTGCACAACTTTAAAGCTTTACATTTGCATCATAATTCATATATAAATGCTTCAATTGATCCAACACAGTACTCAAACAAGAAAGCCATTTTAAAATTTAAAAGCCTTGCACAAAAACTTGTAAGCGTGTCATTTCTTAAAAACTTGGCATTAATGTATGATGCATTAGAAGAATCTGAATCAATTTCAGAAGTTCTAATTTAAAAAATATCACACTCTCAAAAGTAATTCACATTATCTCTTGAGTCATATCTTTGAAGGGAGAAAATATGAAGGAAGTCCCAAGGTTTCTGAAGTTAAACTGGCCATTGAAAATAGTATTTTCTAAGATAAAAATATATAAGAAGGCAGAAACCTAAAATTGATCAGACCACCTTCTATCAGAAGCTAGTAATAATTATTAAATATTACTAGCTTTAGTAATAAGCATTAATTATTGCTAGCTTTTTTAAATAAAGCAGAATGCAAAAGGTGCTTTTCAATCATAAATATCATGTGCAGATACAGATGTATAAAGCATATTGTTAGTAAAACATAAATCATTAATATTCATCAGTATTGAAGGTCCTCCACTAAAAGAATTCTCGCTAAAGGAGTATGCAAAAGAAAAGGTGAATGTAGTTAGAAAAATAGCCAACTGCGAAGAAGGACCATGTTACATGGTCCTTCTTCGCAGTTGGCTGTTTTTCTTTTAACTACTTTCAAATCCATAACTCGAACATCTAATTTCTCAGTAAAAGCTAGTTTAAAACAATGTCACAAAAATCATTTTATTATCAAAATATAATTCATTCATGAATTGAATATGCTAAGAAAGCTTTCGAAATAAACATCCTTCAAGTTATGACTGCATATTAGGAAAATGATAATGGCAATTTTTTTTATTAACTTCTAGTTTGCTTTTATAACTGGTTGACCAGTTATGCAATGTACATGCAATTGCATGCAATTGTACATGCAATTGTACATGCAATTGCATGTACAAATATCATTTACTACTTATATAACATATACCAGTATATTAACTTAAAAAAATATATTTATTACAATCCACAAAAACGAGTTTATTTAATTGCCTTTATTGTTATGTATATTTATAAAAAAAATGATGTGTTATTTTTCTACAGAAAAGTATTAATATTATTCTAAGTGTAAAGAAATTATACGACCGAAAGCAAAAACAAATAAAAACTTTTTTTTAATTTTTTTAAAAAAAGTTTTTAAAAAAAAAAAAAATATTTTTTGTGTATTTTTTTTCTCCTGCTAATTGTAGTGCCTGTATCAGTTAACATTTGGTGTAAATAGAGTTTATATGTTTTAAAATTGGTCTAACTATGTTTATATTACATATAACTCAACAGAAATAAAAAGTTTCTGATTATTTTTGCTAAAAAGTACCATAAAAATTTCGAAATTTAGCTAAGTTCGTCATTTATCGCATTTATTCGAAGATCAAAGCGGTCTTTGAGTATTTCATTAAATGTTAAAACATAAAACATTTAATTGGTGTTCATACTCTTTTTACAGAACGAAATTATCTTAAATATTTCAAAAGTTATGCAAGTTTTAGTAACACCCCTTAAGTAATTATTTTGAAAAAATAACAAGAAGCCGTAAGTCCACCTTG